AAAAATAAACAAATAAAAAAAGGCTAAATCAACCTCAGACTGAACTCTCCAAAGTGTTGAATAAACACCCCTCTTTGTAAGTTGGACACATAACTGTCACAGTAAAAGAAAGCTAACACAAGTGTTTGCATTTCACTTCTTTGCTTAGGAAAGGAGGTGTTTTTTTCTTCTCACACTGATCATTCTAAAAGAGCTTAAGACTTGAGATTTTGTAGTAAGTAAATTGACAGTCACTTTCTAGGTTGTGGCTTTTTTATGGTCTTTAATTTTTTTCTTTCATTTTATGCATATGATGTTTTTTCTTGCTTTGCATTTCTTTTGAACAATGTTGGTAGGGAATCTCTCAAGCAAGAAGAGGGGATAGAAAGACTTGGCAAGATGCTGGGGAACTGTGCATATGTATAATGAATGCATTAGCATATAAATATGCAAGAATTATCCAAGATTGTGAACAGAGAGTTGACACAAATGTAGAAGATATTGGCTACAATAATCATGCACCACAGGCAATCTACTCAAAGAATTCACGTCGCCATCTAGTTTCTGCCCCCAGGAATGGCCAACCCTGCAGCCACCGGCCCTCTAATCTACCAAGGGAAACATAATTTTTCCTTTTATATTAGGAGAGTTCCAGTCACCCAAGCAATTATATTACTTGACTTAATCCTTTCATCCCATCTTCTGATGATACTTCACCAAATGCATGAATATACTGAAATCAGACATCTCTGTGCCCTTCTGAGTCCCAGAGGGTTCACACCGGCGACGGATCTCACTTAGGGCATGGAGGAGACTCTCTAAGTCCTGCTCTTCTGCAGGCTGGACTGTGCCTTTGCTCTTCCTTACTAAACAGTGTGGAGTACCCTTGAGAACACCATACTTTCTCTGACCCCTGTGTCACAGTTGGCATCACCCCTGAGTATCTGAGCCACAACTGTCCTCACATTTTATCACATACTTCAAAGGTATTCCTCAGTATTCCGCCTTCCCATTCCTGTGTGTATGCTCTATGTAGCTCCACTATATAAATCCTCAGTATTCCACCTTCCCATCCCTGTGTGTGCTCTATGTAGCTCCACTATATAAATCCTCAGCATTCAGCCTGCCCATCCCTGCGTGTGTTCTCTATGTAGCTCCCACTATGTAAATCTATATAATTCCCACTTGTGGAGGTTGAGAAGCAGAGTGAACGGGATGAGATAAATGTCCCGTACTTAGACAGCATTCTAAGGGAAATGATGGTGAAACGGTCACTCTTGTGACTGTTAAGTTATGTGGGACGTGATTAGAGGATTTAGGAGGGGTGCGGATCAGAGCTGTGCTCCTGCAGAACCAGAGAAAGGCAACATCCAGGCTGTGATCTACCTGAGAAGTCTCTAAGGAAAGGAACTGCAAGTGGTGTGGTGGCTGGAAAGAAAATGGCCCCCGAAGGGAGTGGCACTATTAGGTGTGGCCTTGTTGGAGGACGAGTGTCACTGTGGGGGCGGGATCTGAGGTCTCTTTTGCTCAAGCTTCCCTCGGTGTGACAGCCAGTGGACTTCCTGTTGCCTCTGAGTGCAGGTGTAGGACTCTCAGCACCACATCTGGCTGCATGCTGCCATGCTCCCCATCATGATGCTAATGGACTGAACCTCTGAACTGTAAGTGAGCCACCCCAATTAAATGTTTTTATTTATAAGAGTTGCGGTGGTCATGGTGTCTCTTCACAGCAATAAAACCCCTAACTAAGACAAGTGGTCTCTATGAGATAAAAGAAGACCTGAACCAACAAGACAATCTGTAAGGTAATTAAGACCTTAGTCCTATAGTCACTGAGAAACAAAACCCTCCAATTACTTCAGAGTTGAAAGACTGCAAACTGCAAATGAGAAATGAAATGTGTTTGCCCTATGAACTACAGATCTGTGAGGCCATGGGCTGAGCATCCTAAACTCCTGACCCACAGAAACTGAGATAATAAGTGTGTGGCTAAGATCGTAAGCTTATGGTTTTGTTTATATGTATACACACACACACACACACACACACACACACACACACACACACACACACAAAGCAAGCTGAGGAGGAAAGGGTTTATTCAGCTTATACACATCACAGTTCATCATCAAAGGAAGTCAGGAATTCAAGCAGGGCAGGAACCTGGAGACAGGAGCTTTTGCAGAGGCCATGGAGGGGTGCTGCTTACTGGCTTGCTCCACATGGCTTGTCCATCCTGCTTTCTTATAAAACCCAGGAGCACCAGTCTAGGGATGGCCCCACCCACAATGGGCTGGGCCCTCCCTCATCAATAACTAATTAAGAAAATGCCCTACAGCTGAATCTTATGGAGGCACTTTCTTAATTGAGGTTCCCTCCTCTCAGACGACTAGCTTGTGGCAAGGTGATAGAAAAGTATCTAGCATGATGTATATACATATATATTTTCTTCCTCCAAAGCATCTGGAAAACGAGGCACTGAGACACTAGAAATGAAAGCGAGCACTCTTCAGGGGGTCAGAAGGCCCTGCACTGTTGAATACTCGGGCAGCTTCTGAACAGTTGATATATACATACATACATACATACATACATACATACATACATTGACCAACCTTGTGATATGCATACACCACTCAAGACTTGAATTCTTGAATGGCTTTCAGTTCAGTCAGTTCTTTGTAAAGCTCATCCAATATAGATAATGCAAAAATACGTGATGTTCAATACACACCCAGAGACCAACACTCAAAATCTGGCCCATAAGGATACAAAACAACAACTCCGTAATTCTTCAACATGTATGACTCCAAACAATGGATTATTATGAAGCCAGATGACCAATGAGGAATTAATACAGGATCCAGTGCCCTTCTCTGCCCTTGGGTGCTATTGACAGCACGTCGCATTGATTCAGCGCTTACTGTGTGTCAGGAACTTAAGGATCTTAAAATAGTATACTAATTAATCTCTAAAAGATTTCTTGAAGTAGATAGTTTTGTTGTTGTCATTTCATATATGAGAAAGCTGAGGTGAGAGTGTGAACAGATTCCCTCAGGATGTGCAAACCATGGAGCCCCGAGTCAACCCTACACAGATGTCTCTTCTGCCCAACACAGCTCTCCGTGTATCATCTTAATCTGTGTCCTTGGACTTGCTAAATCCAAAGCTTTCTTGTTTGTGCCCTTCAGGGTTAGATTCGAGCACTTTAAATGTCTGGTTAGGAAACCACGGTTTTTGAGCCACAAAGGATGAGAGGGTGGGCCTCAACAGTTCAGTTATTCGAGAGACAGAGAGAGAAGAAAAGCAGGGTCAGAGGAGACACTCTGAGACACCGCCAAGAGACGCAAGATATGAGAGAACAGGTAAGGCCACGAAGCCACGTGGCAAAACATAGATTAACAGGGATGGGTTGAGTTAAGTTGTACGAGCTAGTTAGTATTGAGTCTAAGCCATAGGCCATTCAGTTTGTAATTAAAAAAAAAAAAGTTCGGTCATTCAGTCCAATAATTAACTAAAAAACACAACAAAAGCCCATTTGCTCTGATCTCCTTCCTCACTGTGCTGTGTGCCTGACTCACAGCCGCTGCTCTTCTGGCTCCCTACACCCTGCAGATGGGAACGCTTCCCTTTCCTGATCATGCCACATAGCTGTTTTGCCATAGGGCGACTCCTGGTGAAGGGAGAGAAGCTGGACCATTAGACGGCCGATTTTCTAAACTATAAATTTCTCCCCTCCACACACAGACATTTCTTCTTGCTCCCAGTGACCTCTGCAGACCAGATGCATTTCCTTTTTCTCATAGCTTTGAGAAGATCAGCTGGTTGGCTATAATCTTTTCTTTTTCTAGCTAAATATGTACATCATACCCCTGGGTCAGAGGAGTCATTTTTGGCCCTGGTCATAACTGGACCTTTAGTATAGGAAATGCCAGGAGTCACCCTTATCAAATGGCAAGACACTACTAGTTTACTTTTAGCCAACTAGAGTCAATTCTGCTACAACACAATATATGTGATCCTTAAAAAAAAAAAATCATTGTACCATGCAAAACTGCAACCTGAACCATAGGGAGGGGAATGGAGTTAGAGATGCAACACCCCAAACCTTCACCAGGCCTTTGTAAAAGGATAGGAATTTAATAAAAATAATGGCACCATTTTATATATGTAATATGGCTAAAAATACACAAATAGGGCTTTAACTGTTAAGAAGACCTTCAACCTGCCCAGTAGTGAGACCACTCTGCCCCCAAACTCTGAAAGAAATGACATAAAAATCAAATACTTGGAGGGGCAGGAAGTAGCATGCACGGGAGGGTTGCTGAGGGAAGACGGCTGGAAGGAACCCATCTCCCATGAGTCCTGGAAGGATCTTCTTTTCTTTAAAATGTAAGCCGGGGAAGGATACATTTAGATTAGTGCCTGTCTTGTCAGAAAATCATTTTTGATCCAGTGAGCAGTTTTCCTCAACTGGCTTCTCGGTCCTGGGTGGGAACTCTTGGTTTTGTCCAAAAGCATTTGGCAACCTCAAGGCAGCCACGGCTAATGATCAGAGAGCCTCCTTTGAAGGTGTCTGTAAATGGCTAGTGCTCTCCCTTCACCCGCGTGCCCCACGCTGTCTCCGCCTGGACTTCTCCCTTCACCCGTGTGCCCCACGCTCCCTCCGCCTGGACTTCTCTCTCTCCCTTCACCCGTGTGCCCCACGCTCTCTCCGCCTGGACTTCTTCTCTCCCTTCACCCGTGTGCCCCACGCTCTCTCCGCCTGGACTTCTTCTCTCCCTTCACCCGTGTGCCCCACGCTCTCTCTGCCTGGACTTCTCTCTCTCTTCACCCGTGTGCCCCACGCTCCCTCCGCCTGGACTTCTTCTCTCTTCACCCGTGTGCCCCACGCTCCCTCCGCCTGGACTTCTCTCTCTCCCTTCACCCGTGTGCCCCACGCTCTCTCCGCCTGGACTTCTCTCTTCACCCGTGCGCCCCAAGCTCTCTCCGCCTGGACTTCTTTAAGCCTCTTCTCTGACTTGCATTTTATCCCCGCCACAGACTTTTCTCTGGCAGCTCTGATGACTGGCAAAGTGCATTATTCATCCATTCCCTTTTTCCTCAGGGGATGCCACCTAGTACCTGGGCTCTTCGAAGGTGCTTCATTATTTCCAGCTTCTCTCCAATACGAAGGCTTTCTTTCCATTAGCAAACTCTATTTGTCACTTTTTGACCGAGCTGTTTGGGTATGTTTGGGATGTTGAGTGAACATGTTTTCATACAGGAAAGGGCAAACATGTGAAAAGACAGCAAACCCTGACATCAGAGGGCCATGTGTGATGAAGTCAGAGCAGCTGGTACATATTTGATGTGTGTGTTGGTGTTTTGTGTGTCCCCCCATAGCTGAGGTCACCCGGTCACTGCCTAATGCACTCACCAGCACATTCTTGTGTAATAAATCATCCACAAGGAAGCAGGAGGGTTGCATGTGCTCACGTTGTTCCTTAATGTGTCAGTTGTGTTTGAACAAGGCCTATGTTCAAAACGGGCATCATAGCATTAACTCTCAAATAACCAGTAAATCGATATATGCAATAATTCAAATTCCTTCTCCCAGGAAGCTGGCATTTTACTAAAATTCAAATGTCGACACTATATAGACCTAGTTTCTAAATTACAGGGCCATTTACATAATTAAAATGAGATGTGTACAAGTAATCCTTGAGACTCTTCTAGAGTCAATCTTTACACACTGATTTTTAAGTGGTCACTGCCTTTAGAAAGACAGGGCCTGCTATGGGAGGAATACAATGCGTGCACAGCACAGGCAGGTAAGCTTCGCAGGGCTAAACCACACTGTGTCGTCGACCTCGTCTCCCCCCAACCTCCCCCATCCACAGCAACCAGATAAGTCATGCCTGAGAGAAATACCATCGTAAAGACTCTCCTTTGCTCACAGACTCAAGTTTAGAGACAAGTCATGCAAAACTGAAAAATTCACTATTTCATTAAAGTATTCATGAAACAATTAAACAATAACCAGCACTATTATCCTTTTATTAACCTGGTCTATGAAAACATGTCAGCAGCATGCCCACCTTCCTCGCCACGTTGACAATGTCTCACATATTACGATGAATATTCAATGTCTACTCAAAATACTTGCTATGATAAACCTATAGGTTTAAACAATGTTTTAAGGCCCCAGTTCCACAATGTTCCAAACTTTTAAGTGTTTCTTCCGTGACGTCACCCAGTCTATATAGTGCATTCTGCTTACTCTCTCTCCCACACTCTCTTATCTCCCTCTCATCCTATTAGTCCCTGCTCCCCTCCCCCGAGTCCCTTTCCAACATTCATGACTTTTGGTTTTGTGATCACCGAGTTTAACCAAGGCCACCTGTCTGGAAGGATCACTGGAGCCTGGTAAGTCCCCAAGGAGGTACATGACAGAACTCAGTGACTTCCCCTTTTGGAATTCATCAGTAGCCAGCAGCTGGGCATGATGGGTAGGGGAAATACATGACCCTTATTCCTGAAACTTCCCCAATTTTACAGAATCACAGTCCTTCTACCACCATATTTTCTGAAATTAACTTTCAAATTAGAGTTATTGAGGGGAGTTAGACTCTGGGCCAGATGAATGTGACTGTTGCTGAACCTCATCCAACTTGGAAAGGGTATTTTTCTTAGTTAAATATCAGGCAGAATAAATAAGACATAAATCTTCTATTAATTTAAACTGACGTATAATGGGTCAGCAAATGAGTTGATTTTCCTCTTTTTCTCTTGGTGTATGTGTGCATGGTATGTATGTTATGTGTGCTCATGTGTATTTGTGTGTGTGTGAATGTGCACATGGAGGCCAGAGGCTGACATTGGGAGTCTTCTGCAACTGCTCGTCACCTTCTTTCTATTCATTTTATTTTATGTGTATGAGTGTTTTGCTCACATGTGCCTGGTGCCCAAGGAGGCAGGAAGATGTTGGAGCCCCTGGAACTGCAGTTATGGGTGCCTGCGAGCTGCCACGTGAGTTAGGAATCCAGTCTGGGCTCTGCGAGAACAAGTATTCTTAACCGCTAAGCCATCTCCCAGCCCTTTATTTTGTTTGTTTGTGATACAGCCTCACTATGCAGCCCTGGCTGTCCTGGAACTCCCTTATAGACCAGGCTGGCCTCAAACTCAGAGTCCTCCTGCTTCTTCCTCCAGAGTGCTGGGATTAAAGGCGTACACACCACACTGGCCCACTTTGTTTTTGAGGTAAGATCTCTCACTGGCCCTACAGCTCACTAATTCAGCTTGACTGGCTGGTCATTGGCTTCAGGGATCCAGTTCATCATCACCAGGATTGCAGAGACACAGAACTGTGCCCAGCTTTCTCTGTGAGTGCTGGGCATCTAAAATTGGTTCTCACATTGTGACATTTTACCCCCTGAACCATCTCCCCATCTCCCCCACAAAATTTCAGATAATATTAGTACTTAATAGTCAAGTGTTTCTTTTATTAGACTTTTTGGTTACACAGAAACCAATTCCTGGTGTTGGCTGACATTTATATGAAAATTATATCCTCTCCCTTTTTCTTAGTGAGGCTAAGGTTGTCATCAACGGCGGGCAGCAGGCACAGGAGATCTAGACACCAAAGGACCTGGGTACTAGTCCTCACTCTGTCAAGACTTTTCTCTGGGCCTCAGCAGGCTCCCTGAATTGAGGACTGGTCAGTTTCCCCTCAGTGCAGTCTCACAGGGTACACAACCCACACCTAAGGGACCCCATGCTCAGAAGTAGACAGCCAGCTTAAACGGGATATTTTTGGAGTTGTTTTGTTTCATGATGCTTTGTTTGGACATTTATTTTGTTCTTACAGGTCTTTTGCTTATATATTATGGCTTCTGATTTTATTTCTTTGGGTTTTCTGTGTGTGACCGTGTGTCTCAGTGTCCTTATATGTTTCTTGTGTTTTTTCCCTTTGGCTCTTTTTTCCTGTTTGTTCATTTTGTCCTATTCTGGTTTGTCTTTATTTTACCTTATCTTAGTTTATTGTTATTTTAGATGCCTGTTGGTATTCTAATAAGAGAGAGAAAGAAAGGGGTGTGTGACTTTGGGCGGGGGAGGAAGTGGGAAGGAGCTGGAAGGGGATGGAGTAGGGAAACAGTGATCACAATATATTGCATGAAAAATTCAATAAAAATGATTGAAAGATGAGGATTAGTATGTATACTCATCAGGGGATATACTCACTGGCTTCTTCAGCAACTGTACAGCCAATGTACATGAGTGAACCTGGGAATGTGAGGAGAGCCCTTGGCCTGCACACACCACATCCACAGGGCACCCTCCTTAGCTCCAGCTGACGGCTGTGAGGGACCCTAGTGCTGGCATATCACTGTTTGATCAAAAGCAGCCAGAAATCCAGATTCTGTGAGAACTCCACTGACACTGAAATGCTAGTGAAGTGATAGTTTTATAAATCCTGTCAAGAGAGAATGCTGAAAAGGCGTAATGCCGAAGGCCAGACGTGGCCAGTCTACCGTCTCAGCTCAGAGCTGCACAGGGCCCTATCAGGTCGAGTGAGTCCAGACCAGAATAGCTAAATTTACATCTTTTTATGGCTAGCTTTCTTATTTCCCAAGAAGAATTTCTTTGGCAGGAATGACTTTGACAAAGAAATCAGAATTTTCATACTAACCCCTCCTTGCCTATGTGACCAAGAACTAGCCAAAGACAGACCCACTAGTTAATGCTGTGGTTAGCTGCTAAGATTGCATTTCAACTTTAAAATGAACACAAAGGACAGAAGCAAAGCTTAGATTCTATAAGATAAAATCTAAAAGGCTTAAAGTATTTTATTTCCTTTTTCTATAGAAACCCAATTTTCTGCCGGGCGGTGGTGGCGCATGCCTTTAATCCCAGCACTCGGGAGGCAGAGCCAGGCGAATCTCTGTGAGTTCGAGGCCAGCCTGGGCTACCAAGTGAGCTCCAGGAAAGGCGCAAAGCTATGCAGAGAAACCCTGTCTCGAAAAACCAAAAAAAAAAAAAAAAAGAAAAAGAAACCCAATTTTCTTTTGTAACAGAAGAAGGGCACCATTACTCATGTACTGCAGTTTCCTGAACAATTATAACATAACAAACAGAACATAACAGACACAATATAACAAATATAACAAACATAACAAAACAAACACAATATAACAAATATAACAAACATAACAAAACAAACACAATATAACAAACACAACATAACACAATATAGCAAACATAACAAACACAATATAACAAACATAACATACAGACATTGGACCTTGAGTTTTACATCATCCTCTCCTTGCCTGGAGACTATAATAAGTAGTGACAGCTAACATCTGACATGAGGAACTCTATGCCAGAGTCGTCACAGATGTAAGAACACTGTGGGAAAGAGGGAGGGGCAGCTATTTTCCTCAGTACCACACGAAGAAGTGACTTGGCCACGTCAGCATCCTAACATCCTCATTCATGACCTATTGCTGCATCTTTTACATTACACTTTATTTGGGGTTTGGTGCATGTGCTGCAGTAGTGTGTGAGGTCAGGGAACAATCTGAGCAGTCATTCTCTCCTTCCAACCCCGGCGTGATACCCGGGGACCCAACTCAGATCATCATGCTTGGCAATAAGCTTTACCCAATGAACCATCTCTCCAGACCAACTGCTTTTGCCGTGCTTCATTTTCACTTCTTAATGAGTTACATTTTTAAATCATTCAGACAATTATAGTGAACATAGAAGAGAACAAGAAAAAAAAAATAAACAGCATAACTGATATGGAAGGCAAAGTTAAGATACTGTAAGAATTACTGATGTCCAAAGTAAAGAATTACAAAATGCAGGGAAATATATCAATAATGATAAGACCATCCAAGATTAAGAACAATAAATTATTCCAATAAAGAGAACACAACAAGTTCCGTGAGGAACTGATACAGATATTAACCATGACATAGTCCAGCTGAACTACTCAATCTCAAAAATAGAAAGGAAACACCAGGTCTCTAGGCAGAAAAAGCAGGT